AGGAGCACACAGAGCTTTTGCAGCCCATCACCACCAGCCTCAAACCCATCCTGAGCGAAGGGCAGCGGGGCGAGGCCGGGCTGTGCTGTGCCAGCGCTCCCTGCGTTCCTGGAGCGGCTGCTGGGAGCCAGGGCAGGGCCGGGACAGGGCTGGGGGCTCGGCTCGGGGCAGGGCCGGGGCAGGGCCGGGGCAGGGCCGGGCAGCCGGAGCAGCCTCGCCGAGCTCCAGCCGGGCGGACATCGCCCTCTCCCGCCCGAGCCGGGCGAGCGGAGCCGCAGCTGCACATCCTGGGATTCCGGGCAGCAGGAAGAGCTCAACCCCAGCGCCCGGCGCTTCCTCCGGCCGCAGCCGCGTCCTTCCAGCGGCACCTGCCCACGGAGCTGAGGCGGGGGGATTTTAGGGTGGATATCAGGAAAGGTTCTTCCCCCAGAGGGTGCTGGCACTGCCCAGGCTCCCCAGGGAATGGGCACGGCCCCGAGGCTGCCAGAGCTCCAGGAGCCTTTGGGCAGCGCTGCCAGGGATGCCCAGGCTGGGGTTGCAGGGCAGGGATGGATGATCTTTGTGGGTCCGTTCCAGCTCAGGATATTCCATGATTCTGTGATTCACCATGGGGTGAGCAGGAGCTCCTTCAGCCCAGCAGGGCCTTCCCACCCCAGCCCTTCCCCTGCCGAGCTGCAGGAGCCGTGGCTTTGCTTTAACCTCAGCTCTAAACCAGGTTCCAAGCCCCAGCTCCAGTGGGGATCCTCCACTGACAGCCCTGAACCACTTCTCACTGTCAGGTCTCAGCTGAGATATCATTTATGATCATCACATACCCAGAGCAAAACATCCTTGGTCTTAAAAAAGATCATCTTTATTTACATTTTTCCAGTTCTTTACATTTGGGGGGGTTAAAACCCAGGACAAAAATACTCCCCAGAAGCTGTGGTAAACATGGAAAACTGCGAGTTTACATTTCAAAACCCAGTTATAAATTGCACAGAAGTCTTAGGTTGTACAGAGCCATCACAAATAGTTGTACAAAACCCCAAAATCTGTAAAGAGAACCACAGGAATAAAGAATTACAGCCACGAGTAGTGGTACAAGAAAGGGCACAAGTTTTGTGGGTTTTACCCTGCCAGTCTCTCTTGGGGAGCAGGGATGGGACATTCCTGTTGCAGATAGTTGCAAATATTTTAAAATATAGAATAAAACCCAAATGGAGCCTAGAACAACCTGTATCTCCTGTCTTGTGCTGGCTCAACAGGAAAACATCCTAGCAGAAAATATTTATTTTTACAAAACTCCTGGAAGTTCAGTGGAAAGCTAAAAAAGAATCATTGTCAAAAAGAAAGAGGAGCCTTTGCATCCCCCAACTCCCCTTTCCCCATCTCCTGCAGGCAGTGGGACAGCAGATGCCAAAGCAGAGTTTAGTTTAGGACACAACATTGAAAAAGCCAAAGGTATGGAGGTGGAATATGTGGAGAGCAGAAAAAGAACAAAACCATGAAGGACATAAAAGCAGCATGGAGAAAAAAAAAAGAGCTGATGATATTTTTGGTGTTTTCCATTGGACACTGAGTTGGAAACAATTAACTCACAAGCTTCTCTCGTGCCCCACTGCTCCCCCTCCCCATTTCAAACAAACTCAAAAACAAGTGCTTCAAAGATCTGAGCCAGGAATTAGAATGAATCCCTTTGTGCTGAAGTTCTTTCCCCAGAGCTGTGATCAGAAAAATGGGCTTTTCTCCTCTTTATTTCAGTGTTCAGCAAGAGGAGGGAGGGATGATCAAAGGCCTAAAGGAGCCCAAGAGGAGGAAGCCAGAGAGGCTGTGGACAGGACAGAGGGGTTGATCCTCTCTGGAGAGGGCGAGTCCAAACTCAACTCCAAATCCAACCCAAATACTGGGTTTGCCCACTGTGCTCATCCAAAGCCCTCCCCTAGGACCTGCTGACAGCGCCCTGGGGCCACCCCTGCAGGGGGGAGCAAGGAGAGCTGGACCAACCCCTCCATCCTGCAGTCCTGGCCCATTTCAAAGGGCTCCCTAAAACATCAGCCAGGCTCTTTGGGTCAGGCTTCACTTCCCTGCACAGCCAAGGCAGGGCAGGAGGGTGGCAAAGCACTGATTGTCACTTGTTATGTCAATTCTCCTGCACAACCAGGCTGCTCAGAGACAGCCCTGGCTGATGGCTGCTGCACCCTGGCCAGAGGCACCTGCCAGGGCTGAGAGGGGCCCCTGCACAGCAGCTGGGCTGGGGAGCAGCCCTGGCCTCCACAAGGATGAAGACCACCCTGAGGTGCAGATCCAGCTCCTCCTGCTCCCCCCACAGCAGCCGGTGGTGATGGACACTCCTCACCAGACAAGAGTGTCCCCATTTGCTCCCTGCTTTGCAAGGGTACAGCAGGGGGTCCCAAAGACCAGTTTGTAGCAAAATAAATTGGGGAGAGCAAGCTGAGTGCACAGGAGCACTGCAGACACAGGGCACAGCACGGGCTGGGTGGGGGCTCCCTCCTCCACAGCCTCCACCAGGGATGGGCCATGCCCAAAACAAAGGTGGAACAAGGACATGCCCAAAACAAAGGTGGAACATTCCCAAAGGTGGAACAAGGAGGACAGCTGCTGGCTGGGAGTCTGGAAAAACAGCCCAGTGGCTCTGGCCACAGCAACCAAAGAGCAATCCCATTTTCCAGCCAAGGAACGTGGGCTGGACACATCAGCAGCAGCTCAGCCCCAGAGATGGAGAAGGAGCTGGGAGACCAGGCCTGTTCCCAGCCCTTCCTGCCTCTCCCAGAGCCTGCCTGGGTCAGGAGCTTGCAGCCCAACCCAGCAGGTCCAGAAGCATTGACAGCTCATAGGAATTTCTCCAGGGGTGTGGAAGGGATTTGGGTTCAAGGATTTGCACAGCCAACAGCAAGGAAGGCCATGGCAGCTGCAGACTGAGCCAGGCAAGACAGGTTCAGCCAAGTGGGAGGAAGAGGAAGAGCACTGGGGAAGAGCTGTACCTGCCTTTGGCCCACTGTGGATGAAGAATGCTGCTCATGGCAGGCTGGACCACCCGACAAAGGAGAACCATGGAAACTGGGTAGAAGCATAAGCTGAGAAGAGAATGAGGAAGGATCTTTGTGTCTGAGACACAGATCACACCCCAGGCTACCTGCAGTGACAACATTGAGGCAACACCTGCATGCTTCAGACATGGGATGACCAAAGTGGGTTGTGGGGAGGAGCCTTCTTCCACTCTCAGTAAGTTTATTCCAAATGGCTCCTTAGGAGCTGGGGCTGGTGGTCTCCAGCCCTTCCAGGCAGACCTTGGCTATGCCATCTCCATCCTCCTAAAGGCAGAGTCTGCTCTCCCCCTCCTCCCCTGCCAGCAGTGAGCACTGCCCAGGACTCTTGGGCCACTTGGACAAATCCTGGCTTCAGGACACAGGGCCTGGGAAGCAGCAGTGCAGTGGCTGCTCTCTCCAGAGCCAAGCCCACGTGGTGCTAAATTCCCTCCAGCCATGAGGAATTTTGAGCCTGGCCCTGTGGTCAGGCCACACTGTGTTTGTTTTCCCCAAGCTGCCTTGGCAGAGTTCACCACCCTTCCTGGTGAGAGCAAAAAAACTTCATTGTGTAAGAAAACAGCAAGGTGCATTCCTGATTTGGCATGAACAGGCACATGGATCAGCATCAGAAATGGATGAAAAAGCACAGCATTTCTCATAGAATAATTTATTAAATACAGCATTAAAATTTGTATTTCTGAATTCAATCATTAAAAACAACTTCATCTCATATATATATATATATTTATATATATTCAGGGACAATGACAATCACTCTATCATCATTGGTGCATGTTGTGCCAGCACTGCTCAGAACGGCACCTTTGCTACACTACCCTTAAAGCAGTTCAATGCTTAAAAAAAAATAAAATAAAAAAGCATTTGCAAAGAAAGAGTGCAAAGCAGGGCCTGTCCCAGCTGCCTGAAGGGTGTGCAGAGGTGGCTGAGCAAGGAGGCAGCAGCTGGAAATGCTCCTAAAGGTCTGTCAGGTACTGCCTGCCCAGCCTGGGGCCATGTGGGGACCAGCTGTGAGGTTCCAAAGGTCTGGAGGCCACAACTCCAGCCTGGCTGGGCACCTGTGGCTCTGAGGGATGTGGTTTGTGGTTTCCTCAGCTTGGGCAGTCAATGCTAAACAAGCTAAACAAGGTGTGTGTGGGGAAAAAGCACAAAAGAAAAATTGCAAGAAAACCCAGCTTGTTCCCCCAGCTGCCAGGTGCAGCAGAGGCTGCAGCTCCCACATGGGTTGTGTTCATTGTCACATTCTGCTCAGGCCCAGGGGACACACAGCAAACCAGTGCCACCACAGGCCCCTGGCCCAGACAGGGACAGCCACTCCCAGGGACAGCCCCAAGGAGAGGGGAGGGATCCCACGGGCAGGGCCCCTGGGCAGACTCAGAGGTAGCATCAGACAGACTTTTGTGATTGATGGTCACTTAACTGCAGCCTGGGAGGAGAGGGCACCCTGCAGGGACATGGAGTGTGGTTGGTCCCCCTGCTCCAGAGTGAGCAGTGCTGCTGTCCTGTGTGCCAGGGCCCAGCAGTGAGCAAGGGTGGGCTGTGTCCCACAGGGCTCTGTGGGGAAAAGGACACCCCATCCCACACCAGGATCTTCCCCAGAGCTCACCAGGGCTTATCAGCTTATCAGCAAGTGTCCCCACGAGCCCATGGCCACTCACACTGCCATCACTCCCCCCACAGCTCAGGTACAGCAGGGCTTGTGCTTTTGGCTTTTTTAAAGTCCCTGACCTTCCGAACCTGCTTACTCCAGGAAACCTCCTGCTACCCTTGGGACCTCTGAGGACAAGGAGGAAGGGCTGTCAAAAACCATTTGTGGAGAGCACACAGCCCCTAAAAGAGGAGAGCAAGTCCACACAGCCCAGCCTTCCCTTAGAGCGGAGCTGTGCCAAGTCAGGAGCGTTTCAGATAAGGCATCGCAGGTGCTTTGATAGTAAAGCAGTTAGTGTTGACTACAGTACTGGAACAGGCTGCTGCCCAGGGCACCAGGGCCACATCCAGCTCTCCAGCACTTGCAGGAGCTCCAAGGGGAGCTCCAGGGCCACATCCAGCTCTCCAGCAGCAGCAGGAGACTGTTCAGTTTCCCTGACCTCTCCCACGTGCATGCAGGCTGCTCTGGCTGCCCTTTTTGGTTTTTTTACCCCCTCCCTAGAAAGAGACTTCAAAAGCCCAGGCTGGGATGTGGCAGTTCCCCCAAAAGCAGCCAGAGAGACAAGAAGACGCCTTGTGCTGTACCAGAGTGTGCCACAGGCGGGTGCCCTGTGGTGCCAGGGTGGGCAGTGCCAGCGGGGTCGGAGCAGGGGAGGGCTAATTGCCATTGCTGATGCTGGAGTTGGCACTGCTGCAGCTCTGCTCGTAGGATGGAGGTGCCTCTGTGGGGGAAAGGAAGAATGAGAGAGGTTATGGTGGGTTTGGGAGATCCCCTTCACCCCAGTCTGTGTAACCCAGGGCAGAGTGAAGCAACCCACCAACACACACTCCCTGCCAGGGCCCCACAGCCTGCCCAGCTGAGGTACAGGGGCTTTGTAGGATTTCAGCCAGTCAGTCCCATCCCTGCCCTCATGCCCATGGAGGTTAAAAATCACAACCTCACAGTCCTGTTCTGTTCCTCCCTTTCTTTCCTAAGCATCCTCTTGTCTTCCAGCACCTCCAGATCACTCATGCCCTGTGTGCCCCAACCCAGGGCTGAAGTAACACACGGAGTGTTCTGTTACCCAGTGCAAAGAGAGGGACTGACTTGGGTACAACTGTGCCAACACACACTGCTGGCCTTGTCACCCTGCACACCTCCAGAAGTCCAGAACTCACTGCTGGCCCTGCCACCCCAGCACAGCTCCAGGGATCCAGCACACACTGCTGGCCCTGCCACCCCAGCATGGCTGCAGGAACCCAGCACACACTGCTGGCCTTGTCACCCCAGCACAGCTCCAGGATTCCAGCATGCTGGGATTTCCCTGAGCTGCTCCACCCTGGACACTTTCTCAGCTCCCACCCCCACAGCTTCAGACCAGCTGCAGGCCCACTCCAAGTCAGACAGAAGATTTCAGTGACATCATTTTCCTGGCTATGCTCCCACCAGCCTCACCACAAGCCAAGTAGTTTTTCCATCAGTGGGAGGCTGAGAGCTCTTTTAAGAACAGGGAGATCCTCTCAGGATGAGCCCAGGGCAGGCCTGGGTGTGGATGTGGGAAGGACAGCTGGCTTTTACAGCTGGAAGAGGGGACTCCTCCAGAGGCTAAAGCAGGCAGAGAGATGTCACAATCCCTCTGACAGCACCCTGCAGCAGACTGACTGAATCCCCAGAATCCCAGCAGTTCACAGCTAGCAGAGACTGAGGTAGGAGCTGTTTCTCCCCAGCTGCAGATCCCAGGAGTGCTGCTCACCATAGGGGTATCCCCACGTGCTGTACTCTGGGGGCAGGATGAGTGAGCTGGCTGTGGGGACAGGCACCACATTCCCCTCAGCATAGTAGGGGACAGTGGCTCCCGTGGACAGGCAGAGTGTGGGGTGGTTTGGGGAGCCCGTCTGCTCCGAGTCCGCCCGAATCTCCTGGAAGCTCAGTCCTGGGGCGTAGCTAAAGGGCTGCTGCTGGGAATGGCTTTTGGTGGGGATGGAGACATTGTCCATGGGGTGGTAGCCACTGGCAGCCTCCTCTTCCTCTGGGGGGGCACTGGGGACCACCACAGATGGGATGTGCTGGATGGAGCGGGAGGGGCTCAGCGGGACCCTGTTCACAGCAATGTTTCCAATGTAGATGGGGAGAGTGACAGAAACCTCTGGAGACTTGAGGGAAACCTGGAAGAGAAGAGCAAACAGTGGCATCATCATGATACATGGCAGTGGGAAGGTTCACCTGATGCCTGGACCACCCAGACCACACTGCTCAGCCTGGGAGGGGGCACAGAGCCACGGCCCAGCCCAGAGATACTCCAAATAAACTCACCTGGATGTAGTAGTCAATGTGGATGAGGCTGCAGCCCTGCAGAATGGACTGGGGCAGTGCTGGAACCAGGATCTGCTCCTTCCATTCTGCATGTTTCCAGGCTTTCACCCCTGAGCCTTCCACCTCGGCGATGGTCCTCAGGTCGTAGATCCAGCGCTTGGATTTGTAGGCCACTTTCTGCACAGACAGGAGAAACACAGCTGGCTCAGAGGCTGCAGGTGCTCTTCTGTCTCCCACAAACGTAAACCAGGACACAACCCCACCCAACTGCTTTGTCAAATAGGCACAAGCACAGACATAAGGGGCATATTCCAGAGCAGGAATACCCATTGCTGTGTGACAGACTGAGAGGGGATAAGCAAGACGAGTTCTAGGTCCTCTTTCCCCAGGAAGGTAGAGAGGACCAGAGGTGGAGATTTGGCTCCTCACTGCCCCAGTTGCACAGAGGCCTCCCTGGGGTGGAGCAGCAGCACAAGGCAGAGGATGGCCCCACTGGCACCCACCTGGAGCAGACTGGCCACCACAGCGCCGGTGTCGCGGCCGGACTTGTTCTCAATGTCCGTGCGCAGCTGGATGGCCTGGCCCACGATGTAGCCCTTCAGGTCAGACGTGGCTGTCAGGATGATGTTGCCACTTTTCACAAGCTTGTAGTTGAACTTCTTGGTGATGGACATGGTGTTGGGCTGCTGCAGGATGGCACAGACAGAGGTGTTGGCTCAAGAGAGTCAGAGAGCCTCCGGGAAAACACTCAAGAGATTCAAAACAAGCAAGCAGAAATATTTGCTTCTAAGAGGATGCAAAGAACCAGCAACATGGCAATGCCACAGACAACAGGTCTCACTTCTCCAGCCCCACAGCTCTACTGTCCTATTAGTTGCTTTCCCCTCCAAAGCAAGTTCTCCAAACCCAAGTGTCTCCAAGCACCTGAAGCTGTTGGCCAACATGTCTCTCTGCATGCTGAAAATTCAGATAAACCTTTCAAAGCAACACACACAAGGGTCAGAAATCACCTGGAGTAGGTACTGACAGCAAGGCAGGAGAGATGAGGAGTCCCTGTCCTGCTCTTGCATAGTCACAGCACGCAGTCAGAGCTGTCCAGCCACTGAGTGACTCCTCAGACAGCAGGACCAGGACAAGGACAGTGCTGAAGTGTTGGCATTTCCAGCCATGCCCCTGCTCATTCTTACCTCGATGTCAGGGATGTCGTTCAGGTTGAGAGGGCAGAGAACGTAGAAGATCTTGTTGCATTTGTAGTCCTTGGAGAAGCGAGGTGTGTCTATCACAGCTTTCACCTGATGCAGGACCTTGCCAAAAGGGCCTTCAAATGATGTAGGAGCAGAAGCTGGAGTTGAGAGAGAAAGAAGAGGTCATAAGGCTGAGCCAGGCCAGTTTCTGAACTGGAAGTATATGCAAAATCCAAGGCTTACAGGGAAGGGCCTTCAGCCACTTTTCTGCATCTTACCTGGCAGCAGGAACTGGAAGGGAAAGTTGTGCTCTCCAGCTGTCAGGACCCCTGTGGAAACAAGAGTGAAGTGTTCATGGGACAGGCTGAGAGGCTCTTACCTTGGAATGTTTGATGTGGGGGAGAGAAGCCACCACCAGGGAATCACACACCACCTGCTCTGCTGCCTACAGCCCCTGCACAGCTCCAGATCCCATGGGCAGTGCTTGAGCCAACAGGAGCACCTGCTGCCAGCCACCCCTCCTTGGGACAGGAGAGGTTCTGTAGGAAGATACCCTGTAAATGAGGTCATTTAGGGCAGGCTCTAAGTGATCCCAGTGCCACAGCAAGTGGTTATCCCAGGCTATTGACACAGGACACAGAGCAGGGCTGCTGTGGGTTTATTTTTCCTCAAGTCTTCCCCTGACTGCCTGACATAGGGGAACTGAGAAATCACAGGCACTGTCTGAGGCTGGTAGGGAGTTCTGGTGGGCATCAAGCCACTCCACCCTCAGCCACACACCAAGCCCTTCACAGACTGCACAGGGTTCAGGAGCTGGAGCCAGAGGTCCACCCACCCTCAGACCCCAGAAGGGACCTGCAATACCTCAGCCTGGCTGCTGAGACAACAGGAGCTCAGAAAAATATTGCCACAACATTAAAACCTTGGCACTTGTTTCCTTCAACCACTGCTCTGCAACAGCCTCGAGGGCCCAGGGCAGAGAAAAGATCCAGTGCATGGCTAAAACAACAGATTCCAACTCCCCAACTCCATCCACCCTCCAACACTCCCAGATTCCCTCCAGGGCAGTGTGACAGCTGAACTGAACCCACAGTGTGATCCAGCAGCTCCTAAAGTTGCCTTCAGTAAGAAAACCACTGAGGTTTATCCATATTTGTTAAATCCATGCATACACAAGAGGTTTTGTTTTTAGAGTGGCAGAGCTGAGAGGGAGACCTGGATGCCCAGTAAATCGAGCTGTGTTTGTTCTGCTTTGCAGGATCATTGCTGGAGGTAGCAAAGGCCAGCTCTGGCTGGTGCTTTTGTTGTTGCAAGACAGGGGGAGGCAGCTGGGCCGTTAGCAACGCTGGCTCTGCAGAGCTGACAGAAATCGAGTCCTGTCGTCAGGGGATTAAGTGGATTACATGGAAGGGGGAGGTGGGGAGGAGAGGAGTAAATCCCCCCACTGACACAGCAGCCCAGGCAGGACTTGGTGCATCATTCATGCTATGAAAAGCTAGATCTCTGCCTCTCTGCTCACTCAGCCACCCCATGGGGACGAGGCACAGTGAGTGTGTCCTGCCCACAGTGCAGGGACAGAGGGATAAACAATCCAACACACACACATTGTGGATCCCTGCAAAGGGACAACAGCAGAGGTGGCTATTTGTACTCTGTGGCCTCACAGAGAGGAGCAGCATTTGCCCATTGCCATCACCTCCCTGCAGATTCCCCTCCTGTTCCCCAAACAAACCCGAGCTATGTAGGCTAAAATGCAGCACCCGGCGCTGTCACCAGGTGGAGGCACCAAGCCAGGCTCTGCCCTCGCTGCCAGGGCTGGTGCTCAGAGCTGGGCAGGCCCGAGGCAGCTGCGGGACAGCCTCTCCTGCTCCCTCCTGCACAGCCCGGCTCAGTAAAGGTGCCAGGTGAGGTGCAGCAGGTGCCTTGGCTGCTGGGGTCCGGGATAAAGCCTGGTTAATGTGAATGACTGCCCTGAGGGTTTCTGTCTTTTAACAGGCACCACTCAGCATTGATCCTACACCCATTATCCCTATTTTAGAAAGCAAATGGCTCACTGGAATACATCGACTGTCCTGTGCAGCTTCTGCATTGCAGTACAGGGACTCTGCACCTGACAAGGACTGGGAGCAAGTGCTGTTCCTGCCCTGCACAAGGGAGGAGGTGGGAGCTCCAGAGGGCAGTGGTCACTGAGAGAACTCCACCGAGGATTTCCACCAAGAGAATTCCCAGCTGTGTGACATGCAGAGCCCCACATGAAGGTGCAGGCAGGAATTCTGAGTCTCCTACTAGGAGCATGAAAGTTCACAGCCTTTCCAGGACCCTTAGGATGAGTTCACAGACTCCACCAAGTAAAAGTCCCTATTCTACAGGGACTGCCTATAACAGGCAGCACCATCCAAGAAGTCATTTCTGTCCAAGTCCTGCCCAGCTCAGGTGCACCAACAGAAAGCTGGGCTGGAAGTGAACCTGTGAGCACTTTCACAGTTTCTAACTCCCACAGCATCACTGAGCAAGGCCAGGAACTCTCCCAGGAACATGTGTGCGCAGCATCACCCACAGAGGAGGTGGTTTGGCTCTCAGAGCCACTGTGTGGCTCACTGGCACTGAGGCAGTTTCTGCACAGGTCCCCAGATGGGAACTGCTCACAGGTCAGCCTAGACCAGCCTGATGGTCCTGACCAAGCCCAAATGCCCAATGTCCTGTTGGCTGTGACCCCCTGAAGAGCCTGCAAGTCCCTCCTGCAGCTCCTGCCTGTAGCAAGCTGCCCACGAGGGCTGGAAATGCCCTTCCTGCTCTTTGCAGCCAGAGAGGAGCTCCCAGAGCAGCCACCCCAGACTGAAGCTGTTCCTGCCACAGCTCACACAGACCAAGGGCATCACAGCAGCACCTGGCTCGTGGCCACAGAGCCCTGACCCAGTCCTGAGCTGAGCAGGGAAGCACAGTGAGCCCTGCTCTCCACTCCATGGAGCAGGGACATGCTGCAGGTGACCAAGAAGAACTCTTGTTTGCAGACCTGCTCCTTCCAGCCCACTCTCTCCTTCCCCCAAGAGGGAGAAGCATCTTTAGGCATCCTCAGTATCCTGGAATGGGCATTCCAAGGCACCCACTGGTGCAGAAAGGAGTTCAGTGCCAGGGCTATTTCACAGACAAGAGTTAACAAAATTAAGATGAAGAAAACCCAGTGGTCCTGACTGAGATAGGAGCCTCCTGTGAAAGCACAGGCATGATCCAGAGTGCCTGGCAGAGTGACAGGGCAGCAGAGCCCACAGGTGAGCTGGGTCCTGCCTGCCTCCCACTGCACAGGAGGAAAGGCAGATACCCAGCAGCAATCTGGGCTCCTTCTTGCTTCTCCTGGCAGAGGCTCCTCCAGCACGGGCACAGCAAAGGCTCCATTTGCAACTTGGAATTACAAAACCATTTCTGTCTTCTGCCTGGTGGAAAGTTGGCAAATCCCAAACCAAGCACCCTTACAATGGGAAGGAAGGTGGCAACTGCTTCTAAACTCTCCAGCTGGCAACTTTGCTCCAAAAGGCTGAGCTTCCATTTCCTAATGCTGACTGATCTTGCTATAATAGGGGAAATCTGCAATTTCCCTTGTCCCAGCTTCCCTGTGAGCATGGGCAGGGCACAGACTGACCTTGAACCAACACCCAGGTACTTCTGCCATGGAAAACAGGAGCAAACTCAGCTCCCTGCAAGGGACACTTGCAGTGTCAGTCCAGCACAGCCACTGTGCTGGTGACACAGGGCAATGTGTGTCTCACCAGACCTTGAACAGATCCCCAGATCACAGCAGGGGAGATGCAGCATCAGGCAGAGTGTCCAGAGCCATCCCACAACATCCCCTGTCCAATTCCAGCATCCCAGCAGTGAGGGGAACACACAGCCCATGGGGAGCCACTCCTCACCCCTGTCCCTCCAGCCCAGAGAGCTTCAAGCAACAACCCAGGACATTCCATGTGCTAATTCCATCTGCAAGTGGACTTTGCATCAGAGCCTGCTGCTGGCAGCAGGCAGGGGTGAGCTGGTTTGCAGCCATGCTGGGGGCCCATGGCCATCCCAACACCTGGGAACAGCTGCCCTTTCCCTGCTCCTGCAGCACCAGAGGCTTTGCCAAAGCATTCCCCAGCCTGGGCAGGGCACAGCAGGGGTTCAGCACTGCTCCAGGGGGCACTGAGACCCCTCAAACAGGGGCAGCTCACAGACCCTGTGAGGGGACAGGGCTGTGCCAGCCACTGCAGCCACGCCGAGCCAGCACCTCCCCATTCCCAGAAGCCAGAACAAAGGCCACAGTGTCCTAGGATGCAAAAAAGCTTTTCCTGAAGTTTATGTGCAGCTAAAAATACCTTGAGAAAGTCATTAGGCAGCAGAGGCAGCAGGCTTGGCAGGGTTCTGCTGTGAGGCCATACCTGCAGCAGCCTGTCCCCCTGACAGGAGTCAAACCAGCAGAGATTGGCCACCCCCACACAGCCTTGGGAACTTCCTCCCAGAAAATCCCTGGAGGGAAAGAAGCTGCTGCCCCAGACAGCCTGGAGAAAGCTCCAGTGCAGATAGCAGGAGCAGTAACAACACACTCATAGTGCAGAAGAACCTTGGAAAGGCCCCTGACTCCAGCAGAGATAGGTCTGGTGGCTCTCATTCATGGCTCAGCTGCTCCACACTGGGACTGGGGTTGTTCACTTGTACCTCTGGGTGTGGGGGAGTCCTGGAGCATTTCATTCACAGAAAAGAAATTCCTTGATCCAGAGGGCTGATGCCAAGTCTTCTGGATCTCCTGGAGACACTGGGCTGTACCCAGAGAGACCCTGCCAGGCTGAAGGGGCTGGGCCTGTGGAACCTTGGGAAGTTTGACAGGGCCAAGTGCAAGGTCCTGGGTCAGAGCAATCCCCAGCACAAACACAGGCTGGGCAGGGAATGCATGGAGAAAAGCCCTGAGGAGAAGGGCTTGGGAATGGTGGTGGATGAGAAGCTCAGTGTGCCCCAGCCCTGTGTGCTGGCCCCAGAAACTCCCCTGGCCTGGGCTGATCCCAGTGTGGGCAGCAGGAAAGGGGGGGCTCAGCCCCTCTGCCCTGCTCAGACCCCACCTGCAGAGCTGCCCCAGCCTTGGGGCCCAGCACAGGAAGGAGCTGGAGCTGCTGGATGAGTCCAGAGGAGGCCCCTGAGATGCTCCAAGGGCTGGAGCCAGGCTGGGAGAGCTGGGGGTGCTCACCTGGAGAGGAGAAGCTCCAGGGAGAGCTCAGAGCCCCTGCCAGGGCCTAAAGGGGCTCCAGGAGAGCTGGAGAGGGACTGGGGACAAGGGATGGAGGGACAGGACCCAGGGAATGGCTCC